TGGGTGCCATCACTCCTGTCCAGGCTCCCGAGGCCCTGGCTCCTGTGAATCTGGCGTCCACTGAGGGGCTTTAGGGTCCAGCGCGCTCCGGGGCCCTCAGCCTGTCACGTTCACCGCTCGGCCTGCCAATCCTCACCTCCTCTCTGCATGGCCCCACCTCCAATGCCCCCCATGGCTCATGGCTCCCCTCCCAGCCCCACTCACTCTGCTTGGTGCCCCCGAAGAGGAGTGTCGTCCCGCATGAGCGTGTAGTGGTCAAACACCAGCGAGGGGGAGGACAGCTCGCAGTCCTGCCGGCTGGGCTGGTTGGCAAAGTCATACTCCCAGTAGTGCTCATCTGGGAACAAGGCATGGAGCCTGTTGGCGGGGGAGACGCTCCCCCACTGGTAGGGGCTGGAGCTGGGGCTGGCTTGGGCAGGGCAGGGTGTCCCAGGCCTGGTGCCTGGCTGGCAGCATGAGGCAGCTCAGCTTAGCAGGCCAAGGCCACTGGCCAGCATGCAGCCCACGGGCCTCGCAGCCAGCGCTGGTCTCGGTGCATTAGGGGCCCTGGGGCAGGGAGAGGCTTCCCATTTGCAGGAGCCAGGACCCTGTGCAGCAAGCAGCCCAGACACCACTGAGTACTTGCAGCTGGCAGCACCAACTTCAGCCAGGACAGGGTTCCACGTCCCTGGGTTCTCCAGCCAGCACTAGGCAGGGCTTGGGCCCGCACTCTCAGACAGCATGGCTGGGGGCTGAGGGCACAGCCCACGTGTGGCCACCAAGGCCGGGGCATTGAGGGGGGAGGGGTGCGGCTAGGAGAGCAGCGCGGTTACCTTTGAAGAAATAGACCCGCTCCTTGCCGCTGTAGCTGTGCGCAGGGAGGGCGAAGGCCGCGTCCAGGTTGTCGGGGATGTCCTGGAAGCCCTCTGAGATGTTGCGGGGGTAGTCGGGGTCCAGAGCCCCGTCGTCAAAGCGCCAATACAGACTGCCCTGGGGGGCACAGCCACCAGGCAGGGTCAGCTGGGCGCCACTGCTGGGCAGAGCCTGCCCGGGTCCAGGTGCCGTGGCCCTCCCTGGCAAGCTGGACTCAAGAACCATAAAGACTCTGGGCCATGACCCCTCAGCCTGGGAGCGCGTGCCTCACTGCATGCCCCACCCACCCCTGGGGTGCACAAGCCCTAGGTCAGCTCCACCCCAGCCAGGGGGACGCGGCCTCACAGCCCCTCCGTGGGGCCTCCCGAAGGAGCAGGCAGCGGCCAGCATGATGGGCTGGGGCAGGATGGGGTGACGGCAGCGAGTGGAGCTCACAGCAGCAGCATGGGCAGGACTTTCACCAGCGGCAGCCCGTCCTGCGGCCCCACCTTGAAGATGTAGGTCTTGCCCTGGCAGTTAATGCGCGTGAAGGCGGCATCGACCGGCCCCTCAATGCCCCAGACATCGCGGATGAGCTTGGGGTAGCCAGGCCTCACACTCTTCTCGTCCAGCTCGTAGAAGTATTTCCCTGAGGGACAAGGGAGATCGGGGAAGGGGGGGCGGTAGTGCCCACACAACCCCCTCCCAGCACCACCGAACCCCCTTCCCTCTGCTTTGGGTCCAGCTGCCTCTCCCTGCCCTGTCTGCAGTGTGAAAGGGGCTAGCGGCAGGGGGTC